AATCGGTAGTTTCCATTTTGCTTCTCTTTGAACCAAGTGGAAAAGGGTACCAACTCCAAGTGCCCCTCAATCGATCCGCCTGGAGAGAGCGTCACAAATCTGCCTGTGGTCTCCGGGGTGGCAATGGATGTGCCTGCCGAGCCGGTTTTTAGACTCCTACAAAAAGACAACTTGTGAACAGTTAAGTAGAACAATAATGGAAACGCAAAAAAGGCAGAAAGAGAAAACAAGAAAAACAAACTGCATAGACCCCAGATAGCATGAGAGATCACAACGGCACCTCACCGGCCAAACAAGCACCGCCAGCAACACCATAGCACCTCAGCGCACCCCACACAGCACCCCACACAGCACCCTGAGCAGCAAACCTGCAGCACAAACCTGGACCGAACTCGCAAAACAGCTTGCACTCTTTAGAAGCAAGAACCCTTCTAGCTTTCAGCTAGATACGGGGAAAAATGAAGAACATAAAGTGAAACGCGTTCAAATTCTACGTCTGGCAATGACATCTGAGCGACAAGCCCATGACAAGTTTGCATCGCTCACGGCCATCGATCAGAACATCTCTGTCAAATCCCCCCCTCCCAGGCGCGGAACTCTCCAAGTTACGAGTCCTACATCTAGAGTGTGGGTAAATAGGGGGCCCCAGAATGGTGGTTGTCCTGTTGGTTTCCCGATAGACCAGGCTGAACATTCCCTTGAAGAGTCGACCCTGAGTTCACCTTGCCTCAGAGAACCAACTCAGTCTACCAAAAGCAGGGCAGCCTTGATTGTGGCTTCTTTGTTCTGGGTTGGATGGAGGAAGAGCTGAGGGTCTCCAGAGGTGAGTGGCTCAGAGCTTGGATTGAGCACACCTCAGCCTTGTGGAGAGAGAGCCTGATGAAGCTCTTCCAACACTTAGCCAAGGAGAGGGCTGCCATTGAGAAAGAGCTTGTGCAGCAAAGAAAAACCATTGAGAAGCAGGAGGCTAAGCAGCTGGAAAACAAGGCAGCAGCTGAGGCCAGGCTGGAGCAGATAAAGAACAAATCCTCAGCAGCAGCTGAGGCAGCCAAATTAGCAATCAAGAAAAACTCTGAGCGCTTCACTTGGCAGGATCTCTCAGCCACAGCAACCAACAAGATCAAGTCACTTGAGCACTCCATCTGCATTTGCTCTAAGTGCAGGTGGCAATCTGGCTGTGCTGAGTGCGACCCCTGGAAGGCTCTGAGGCATCTGGTTGTTCAGGAGGCAAAGGCTGCTAAGAAGATCCCCTTTTCAGGACTGTGGGCAGTTTAGAAAGACTGAGATTTGATACTGAGACTGCGCAGGACCAGAAGATGTGGCCAAGCTTCTGAGCAAGGCTAGCTCAGAACCAGCCTCCAGCTCAACCTACCAAGGCTTAGCAAGTTTAGCCTGAGCCCGAGCAAATCCAGAAAGCGAAGAAAAAAGCTATGCGTTTTTTTAGATTTTTCTGGGGGGGCAACAAACACTTGCCACAATAGCGAACCGTTAAAACAGTCACAGGATTCTGAATTAGGAAAAACAAATCTACAATACCGAGTACCAATAATAAAGGAGGTCCAACATTATCAAGGCAGCAAACATCCCTGGTTTTGACACACAGTCAACATGTTGGTGGTCGACCAGAACGAATCGGTCCTTATCCCTTTCAGACCATCGAAGAAACTCAGTGGCATTCCGTTTACACTCGCCCAATTTCGGGGAACCTTCCCTGCAACATTGGGCCTACCTGTTGCTTTCAGCGCTATAGGCTACCTTCCCCTGAGAAGTATCAAAATCTGGGCGGCTTCTTCCAAATTGACTGTGCAACTTTTGGTGGCCAGGTCAACAAGAGCAGACTGGCGTTGACTCGGAAGGCTTGCAGGTTTTTGCACAGGAAACACAACGTGGCCCCAGTCACCTTTTCAAACGTGTTCAAGGGGTGAGAATGGCTTAACTAGCAGCTCTTGCTGGCATCCCGCCATTCCTTCACAAATTCTGCAGGAGACTTGAAACCGGGGACCGTGTTCTTGATGACCCCCCAACCTGTGAATTGTCCCTCTTTCACCGCTTGGTTTATGGCACCTAATGCCGAAACGCTGCCAAGCCACTTACTAGCTGATTTTCTTTGAGTACCTTGCGCTCAAACTCCACCCACAGTGGAAGTCCTGCATGAAAGAAGGTGACGACCTAGGGCGCAAGCGGAAAAAACCCTTTGCGCCCCCCCCCCCCCCCCCGTAACCCCAAGCAACGCAAAAACTTGCCGGGCGCGCAGCTCCAGGACCTCAGGCCACGAGGTCTGTAAGCCCTTACGCAAAGCGCCTGGGTTGCCTGAGGCATGCTTGCGCCTTATTGGGGGCCTGATCAGCTATAGAGATCAGCAAGACAGCTTTGAGTCGCACCAACTGGACCTTGTCAAGTCTCGTCAAATTTGTTTGCCTTGTTGTTGTTTCTCGCTCTCGCTCTCTCTCTCTCTCTCGTCTCTGCCTCTCTCTCTCGCTATCTCTCTTTCTCTGTCTCTCCCCTCCAATAGAACGAACTTTGTCTTGGAAAGGGTAGACGCCAGCCACAATGTGCCCTGTGGCCAAGGCGCGGCGCTTGCCACAAGCACACCTTTGATCATGCTGCAGCAGGTTTGAAAGCGCACGCAAATTTTCAAGCTCGGAGATTGCAATGCCACCATTGTTGCAGCGATCCAATTTTGTGGCTGAGACAAGCCAGCAAACGCCATAGGGGTGCAAATCTAGGAAAGCCGTGCTTCGAGCTCCACCTCCCTTTGTCAGCAAGCACTTGTGCGGGCGTCATCAAACATGTGGGTTTCTTGAGACGGGCTCTGGCGAGCCACTGTGACCCAGAAAAGCCCAATAGGAAGGCTTCAGCCTGCCGTTGGACGCATGGCGACAATTCAGACCCGTGTATGAGTTTGAAAGGCAGACTCACTTCTTACTGAGGTGGATTGGCCAGCAAACGTCGTCTAGACTGTTTTTTACCGCTAACATGGTCTTCCCAAACAAGTTTAAAGTCCAGAAGTCCCTCTTTCCCAAGTCCCAAGCTGGGCTTCCAGCGAGGTTGTTGTCCGCGGAGTCGACAGGAGGCGCACGCACCTCACCAGGCCACCGCTCCAAGAGCCTTGCTTTTGACCCCTTTTGAGGGAAAACTCAAGGGACCCAAACAAAGCAAATGTCTGCACTTTGTTGGAGTCCCTAAATACACATTGACACTTACACTTAAAGGGCAAAGGAACCAACAACAACTTGTAGTAGGGGTCAGAGAGGTGAATCTCCCCAAGATTGCAGCGGACAATGAAGGCTCCTTCCTGACAAACTGATTTCACATGACTGACCAACGGAATTGGGCATTTCCCATTGGGTCATTGAAGGAAGCTCGCTCCTTGGACTTCGAGCATGTTCAAAGAGCCAAGACTGTCATCTCCCAAAAGAACATTGAACCATGCCGGTTGTAGCACCGAATGCTTTGCCAAGTTCGGGCTCTTGTTTTCGCAAAGATCAGCTTTGGCGGCCGAGATCGCGCTGTGGCAGA